GGGGGGGGGGGGGGGGGGGGGGGGGGGGGGGGGGACAGTGTGTCCATGTTAGGGTCAGTGAGGGAGGCCCTGTGTTCCAAGCGTCTGTTTTCTCCAAGCGTCCGTACAACGAAGCACCGTCAGTTAGGCATACTCACGCGCAACAGGTGTGTGAAATCATGTGTGTGGGGTGGGGAAGGGAAGATAACAATGTAGCAGCCAATCACAGGACGGGGGGGATGCCTCCGCTGCGATTAAGAGGGAGGGGGGGGATAGGGGATGCTCACGAGCTAGAAAAGCCAAACCAAGACAGAACAATAAACAAGGCCGGGAGATCATATCAACCAAACGATGGGAAGGTGTAGACGATAACATGGACGTGCGCATCGTTCAAAGTGCTGATTTGTTGTACGGTCTCCGGGCAGCACGGACGTCATCGCTCGTCCGCTCAGATGAAAGCAAGGGCCGAAGAGAAAGTCTGCAGCTGCGCAGCAGCAGTGGCAGGGGCAACACGTCTCATTTCTTCTCTTTTTGTTCATGTGCATACTTATTTCGTTCTTCAACTCATTCAACTCGATTGCGGTTCCGGGGAAGATCGAGCTACGTACGTGCAAACTACACGGAACGAGCAAACGACCTCGAGTTCAGAGGATGCTTGCTCATGAGAGAAGGTGCGCATGGCTAGGGATGCGGACCGAAACATAATACACACAAGAGAGAAAGAGAAGGCGACGGGCGGGTATGCACCAACCTTATCCAAGTCGACCATAACGCACTTCTCCACCGACTTGTGCCGCAGCACTTCTCGTGCCGTGGCCAGCTCTCCTCCCCCCCCGATGTAAATCTTCGGCATCCCACGGTATCCCACGGTTAGGACAACCGAGCACGAACATGAAGCGGGTTATTGATTCGGGGCGGCTTATTACAACAAACTTGCCAAACTTCTCGTGCGGGTGGAAACAGTGGGTGGGACAACCGCCATGTGTTTGGGCATACTCCGTAAAACACAAGACCGCGTCTCTCCGCCACCCGCACCTCCTCACTCCCGGATGTTCCACCGACCAATGGACCGACCAATGGAAACGGAAGAGTGTCTCTCGCGCCGTGGCGGCTAGATTTGCGCCGGCTCCGGCCGTCACCCTGCAAAAAGACATGCACACGACATCCAACCACTGCTACTGCTGTAGCGCCTTCCCTGTAGTCCCCGCACATGAACACAACTCCGCGTGCCTGCGGCTTTCGTTCAAACCAACAAAATCATCACCAACCAGCTCGGGCATCCCTTGAACGACCCAGCGCTTGCAGTTTTGCCCATGCTTCTTCCTTGCTTCTCTAGCTGAAGAGCTCTGACCCTCAAAGCATGTCAACGAACAGCGTTTTTAGATAGCGCGAGGCGGGTGATGGTGATCACAGATCCCGAGACTCACCCGCTTTGGGTTGGGATGCGCCAGCATAGCCGGGTGCACCAGCGTCTCGTGGTAGATGAACTCGTCCAGCTGCGCGGACTGCGTCTTCCCGTCGAGGACCAGAGTCTTCCCGAAAGGAGCCGTCTCAACCACCTGCAACAGCAGCATAACACCAAGAGGGGAACAGACAAAGGACGGGCATATCAGTCCTTTGGCACGTTTAATTACCTGCAAAAGCAGCACACACCCAGAGGGAACAGACGGACAATCAATCCTTTGCCACGTTGTGGTAGAAACGCGACCTCATCTCCAGATAACCGCTGTCCCTAGTCCCCCTCCACCTGGTGCCCCCCCCTCCCGCGCTTCCGCTGTCCTTAGTCCCCTTTCAGCTGGTGCCCCCTCTCCTGCCCACTTCCTCGACCTCCAAGATTCAAAGACCTCTTGGAGTCGGGCTTTGGATATTTCCCCTCGCCGTGAGCGACGTGTTTTGATCGGCGGACGGGTACAGTGCGGCTGATGGATGCAAACTCAAGAAAAAGCACCACCAAAAACCACACCTGGACATGCTGAAAGTCGGACGAGGCGTTGAACATGATCTTGTTGAGCCTCGACCTCAGCTCCAGATCCTCGGAAACATCCTCGTGGAACCTTCCAAAAAATTGCGACAGATCAGGACACATTCAGATCAACTGGAGTCTCTCCTGTATTACATGTAGCCTTGTCAGCGCCATCTTGCTTTTTCGCTACACACGGATTCACTTCTCTAAGTGACAACGAAAATATCAAGAGGGATTCATTTTGCTCGTTTTTCCCTGTGCAGATAACACAGCCACTGATTTATGATATAATGAAGTACGAAGTATACTACCCGTTCGAGATATACCCACATTCGAACGGGATGTGGTCGAGTCTTTTCAGTGAGTGGTGGAAAACCGGCTGGGTACTGGACTTATTTCGAAATTATTTAAGTCAATAAACTGATGATCTATATCAGTGATACCAGCTGATGCTAGTATACGTCGAAGCACGAAGCATTATTTTGTACTTCGTATTTTCAAAAACTGGAGCGCGGCAGTGCACAGCGGTTTGTCCGTTTGCGGCGCGGAACCAGGTTCGACAAAGGGCGTTGATGCCGTTGGACAAATGACCACCTACCTTAATGCAACACGGAGCGTGACCTGAACAGTGGTGATGCGAGACAAATAACATGCTCTTACAAATATACACATTGTAGGGCCAGTCCCGTCCTACTAGAGTTGGAGGTGGAATAGTTTTTTGTGGTGGTTGCACAAAAGTACCTGCAGTAGGCTCGTGCGTCTGTTCATTGGCTGGCTCGTGTGATTTTCTCGTCGCACAGAAGAACGGGGGGCGGTCCATCATCACCAGCTAGAGAGGGGGGTGGTATCCATCATCATTCGCTAGAGGGGGGGGTGGTGTCCATCATCAGCTAGCGAGGGG